TGGTGCTTAATTTGTGTGAAGTTTTTAAGTAACTGCTTTAATTTCTGTCATACTAACTTAAATCTTCACACACTTTTATCTCTTCTTGAGTCAGTTTTGGTAATTTATATATTTCCAGGAAATTTTTCATTTCATCTAACTTTTCAAGTTTACTGACATAAGGTTTTTAAAAAACCTTTCTAATATCTTCTTTAACTGTGCCCATATTTCATTTTATATTTATAATTATACCGTCTATCATTTTTTAAGAAAAATCTTGCTATAGGCTTTTTCTTTAATGTTTCTGTATCTGAATCCTGTTTTTGTTATTCACAGATCTCAGTGACATGCTTGATATATCCAGTATCCGCTAAGCTTTAGTAATAGCTAGAGGCTATCAGATTTCATCCAGAAAAAAAAAAAATGTGTTCATTTGTACTGGGGTTAGAACATTTAATATAAGCATTGGAGGTCATAATTTTTAGACATTTTCTTGAAATCTTATGGAAATTTCTCCTCCCTTTGTCTTTATCTTTTAGCTATCAAGTGTGAAAAATAATAGAGCATTTCACTTCAGCTACAGTAAAATAAAGAGAACTATTAGTAAAATTAAAAGTGGATGATTAAAACTATTTGTGTACTCTAATCTTGTTGAGGCACTTAGATTTCAATGTGCAGTGTATACAGCAGCATTTTCACTTATGATATTAACACAAAATATATAAATCCCTTTTCTTGCTATTTCTTAAGCTTGCTATATGCCAACCAAGATACTTAAAATATATAATTTTGACAAGTTGAGAAGTTGGCAGCTATTAGTTGTTCTTGCAAAACAAACCAAAAACCAACCTGTAACTTGGAAACTCACACATGAGCAGAAACAGTGCATTACTATGAGGGCAAAGTAGGAATGAGATAGGTACTGTTTCTTCTTCAGAAAACTTGCATCTAGTATGTTATTATTCTTTATGACACATTACGGAATCTTCTTTGAAATTCCACTGTAGTGGACTTCACAATACCACTTACTGACTCTTAAAAATTGTTTCCTTAGAAACAGGGTCTTGCTATTTTGCCCAGGCTAGCCTGGGACCCTTGGGCTCAAGGGATCCTCCTACCACAGGCTCCTGAGTAGCTGGAACTACAGGTATGCACCACCATGTTCAGTTACCACTTATTGTTTGATATTGCAGATCATACATCATTCATTTGCATACTGTTGTGCAGCTATCTTTTGCACTAAGGCAAAGTTGTTATGCATGTGGGCTCTGAATTCAAGCTATTTTGGTTTAAATTCTGGCTCCACAACTTCCTAGCCATCTGGCTGCTGGCAAGTTGTTTAAACTCTGATTCCTCATCTGTTAAATGAGGATACTACTCACCTTACATGACTGTTGAAAAGATTAAATGAATTAATCCATGGAAAACTTTGGCATGGTACTTGCTACATAGTAAAATCTAATTAGCTGTTTTAATACATGACAGATACGTTGTTAATTTTTTTACTGATATTAAAATTAGTTTAGGGTTCTGTCTGTATTTGGGTATTGATTTATAAAACCTTAGCCATAGCCAAAGTGTTAGAGTATAAAAGTAAAGGAGATGTGAACTATATAAAATACAGAAAGTAGAAATTACATCAGAAATTTAGGAGGAGAATATTTTGAAACAATAGTCTTGAAAATAAGGAGCCGTTTTTACATGTTCTCTAATTTATTTATTTAAAATTAATTTTTAATTGACAAATAATACTTTTATATATTTATGGTACATGAATACATTGTGGAAAGATCAAATCAGTCTAATTAACATATTCATCACATCACATACTCATTATTTCTTTGTGGTGAGAATATTTAAAATTCATTAAATTTTGAAATACAAAATACATAATTTTTCTTTTTTTTTGAGACAGAGTGTTGCTTTGTTGCTCAGGCTGGAGTGCAGTGGCACAATCTCGGTTCACTGCAACCTCTGCCTCCAGGATTCCAGCAATTCTCCTGCCTCAGCCTCCCGAGTACCTGTGATTACAGGCATAATCCTGGCTAATTTTTGTATTTTTAGTAGTGATGGGGTTTCACCATGTCGGCCAGGCTTGTCTCGATCTCCTGACCTCAGGTGATCCGCCCGTCTTGGCCTCCCAAAGTATTAGGATTACAAGCGCAAGCCACTGCTCCTTGCCGATACATTATTTTTAACTGTAGTCACCATGTTGTGCAATAGATCACCAGAACTTATTCCCCTTTTTAAAAATGGAAACTTTGTTCCCTATGATCAGTGTCTTTCCTTGCCCCAACCACCCCTACATCCCTCAGTCTCTGGTAACAACCACATTCTATTCCCTACCTGCATGAGTTCAGCTTTTCAGTATTCCACATATCTTTTTAAGTAAAGGCTTATAGCTGGGCGTGGAGGCCTATGCCTGTAATCCCAGCTACTCGGGAGGCTGAGGCAGGAGAATCACTTGAACCCAGGAGGCGGAGGTTGCGGTGAGCCGAGATCGCGCCATTGCACTCCAACCTGGGCAACAAGAGCGAAACTCTGTCTCAAAAAAAAAAAAAAAAAAAAAAAAAAAAAAAATCCCAGCACTTTGGGAGGCCGAGACGGGCGGATCAAGAGGTCAGGAGATCGAGACCATCCTGGCTAACACGGTGAAACCCCGTCTCTACTTAAAAAATACAAAAAAAAAAAAAAACTACCTGGGCGACGTGGCGGGCGCCTGTAGTCCCAGCTACTCGGGAGGCTGAGGCAGAATGGCGTAAACCTGGGAGGCGGAGCTTGCAGTGAGCTGAGATCCGGCCACTGCACTCCAGCCTGGGCGACAGAGCGAGACTCCATCTAAAAAAAAAAAAAAAAAAAAAGTAAAGGGCTAAAGTGATGATGTAGTTTTACAAGTGCAGTCATGAAAAGATGTCTCAAGTCTATTGTTAATTTGAAAAAAAAGTTAAAATATGTATATTTATGGAATAAGCGCATTCATTTAAACTCTGCAAATGTATTTTTACATGTAAATGTATCTTTTAAAAATATGGAAGGTAAATGACTAAAATGTTAACAGCATTTAACTTTGAGTGCTCTGAGTGGCATATTCTAAGTTATTTACTCTTATTTCTTAAAATTTATGCAATATTTTAAAATTCAGAGTATACAGATAAAACTCTGCATTCTTCTTAAATAAGAAAACCATTGATACTTTGGGAAAAAAAGAAAGCCTAATTCAAGAATCAGAGAAGAGAGTAAATGTTCACCACTTGTCTAAAGTAAACTACAGTAATCCTTTATGAGAAATTATATCTGCCACTTTTGTTAGTCAAAACATCACATTCTTATGATATACTTCTTCATCCAGAATGTCTTTACCAGGGATCAACTTTATAAATAACATGGCAATGTATGCTGGCCTAACAGATAAAGGGGTTTATATTTGGATACATTAAATAACAGGCAAATGGTTTGTAAAATATCCAGTGTGCATTTGGGAGTTTAGGGAGGAGGACTGGGAAATGTTGGCTGTATTTTGCTTATAGTTGGTGTTGGTTACCCTGAATTGCAAATGGACAGACATAATCTATACAATCGTGTTTTGGCTATACTTGGCTTCCGGAGCACAGAAATGTATTTTGTGTTTGATAATTTGTATTGTTTCTTCAATACAGAACTTATTTTAAAGATATTTTGTTCCTTGAGAATCAGAGTATAAATATAATCAAAATGTCTAGCATAGCCATATCTTATTTTCACCTATAAGTCACTCTTCTGTAATAGACTTTATGAAGTCAGATTGCTATGCCTCTAAAATGGTCAACTTTTAGGAGCTATTTTAAGTTGAAAAAAAGCCACTGGCCTTGTGATGCTTAAAGATGATCAAACCAACTGTTTTTAGGTCAGTTACACCAAAGGTGGAGTGTTTAAGGCAGAGGTGAAAGGTAGATTTAATTTAAAAAGAGGAAGGGCCATCTAGAATGTCCTGTTTCAAGGTGCTGTTTTTAAATTCCAACCTATACTAGTAGTTACAGCTTTTAGAGAACATACGAAGTGCCAGGCATTGTGCTAAAAGTTTTACATGTGTTTTCTCTTTTAGTTTTCACAGTAACTCTGAGAGGTAAGGAAACTTATTACCATTAGCCTGTTTAAAAACGGGGAAACTGAGGCATAGACATGCCCATGATTAAATATTAAGGGTTTCAAAAGAAGTTTGCTCGACTCTAGAGCATCATTACATTATAAAATCCTGTCTTAGTATCTGTAGGGGATTAGTTCTAGGACACCCCTTGGTTACCAAAATCCGCACATGCTCAAGTCCCTTATATACAATGGTGGAGTATTTGTATATAACCTATGTGCATCCTCCCATATACTTTAAATCATCTCTAGATTACGTATAATACCTAATATAATTCCTACACGTCACTTCATTTGCATGAATTCAACACAGTACTTGGTGTGCAGCAAATTCAAGTTTTGCTTTTTGGAACTTTGTGAATTTGTTTTTTTTTTTTCTTCTTTTTTTTTTTTTTTTTTTTTTTACAGTATTTTCGATCCATGGTTTATTGAATACAAAGATACTGGACCCATGGATAAGGAGGGTTATCCCTCCCTATAAGTACTGCCAAAGAACAACCTTTGTTTTATTTTCTGGCTTACCCAACCAAAGTTTATTTCTTGCTCTCATTACGTATCTAGCACAGGTCAGAATAACTTCTAATACTTTAAAAACAGTACTTGAATCTAAAGAGGTAGAGAAGTTCAGTGACCTAAAGATAAAATATGCTTAATTGAACAAGAATTTTTGCACTTGGAACTGTGAAGCATTCCTTGAAGACGGCCTGTGCCTAATCTAAATCCAGGAATGTTAAATGATATCCAAGGGAAAACTGCAGCTTGGGAACTGAGGCCAGTAAACAGCTGTGACCTCAGTCAAGCAGGCAGTGTTTTCATTCCGCAAGCTGTGCCTCATGCTTCTCCGGCTAGAGCTATGTATATTTAATTAGTGTCCTCTCACCTTCACAGTACATGTTTTTCCACTTGACAGTTTTTGAAACCAAAAGAACGTCCTTGAGAAAAACGTAGGGCCTATTGACTACTCAGCATATTATTTTACTTGGTATTCAAGCATTCTAATGAAAGAATTGGGAATAATGAAAGACAGTAGGGCGTAGAGCCACTTTAACTGACACCGTGAGGTCGGTCAAAGCTATTGAACAGTTTCTATTAAATTAGTTTGGCTTCATCTAGGCTAGTTAAAGCTGACATGCTGACAGATTAGTTTCTGTCTGTTTAGAAAAAGAGTAAAGAAGAGCATATTTACATTTGGAGGCTTAGTGGCAGTCACTTTACAAGGTCAACAAGAATATCTCCATCGCAGAACTGTTTGTCTCCCTGTCGATACATTGGCTGATCAGCTTCAAAGTATTTAGCCCTTCTCTAGGTGAGTGCATTTCTCCTAATGAATGTTATTTCGTTACTTATTTTAAATAATTTAACAGATGATTATAGTTTTGTAGTTTGTTGGAAATCCAAATGTAAATTTTAATACAGCAGTTCTACTTATAGAGATGTGGCATAAGATAGTGCCACCACCCCAGTAAAAAAGTAATAAATTAAGATGCTCATTTTCTTACCAATGTCAGTTTGTTCTTTGGCTTAGAATCAAGTTGAATATATGATTAAAAATGGAGACGAAATTGGTCCTATCTGATTTTTTTCATCCTATGAATCAGATTGCAAGCCATATGGAGTTTAGAATCTTTACGAACATAAGGGAAAAATAACTGTCATAGAGGGAATCTTAGCCCCTTCTAGGAATTCTTTTGTATGTAGATCAAGAGCTCTTAACTCAAACTAGTTTCAAAAACTGACTCTTACACAAACCAATGTTTTGAATGCATAAAATAGCTCACTTCTTTATGTTGCTCAAAATCAAAGGAAAACTTATTCTGGAGACATTAGAAAATGAGGTATATCAAAACGACCTTCTCCAGTGCATACATACAGTGAACAAAGTCTCTACCATCACTTGGTGCTCTCTCCCTTCATCCCCCATCTACCTGATTCCCCTTTTGTTGCCCAAACTTTTCAATGATATCATTCATCCAGGCCAAATCTCTTCATGCTTCCAAATTCTCTCTTCCTCTCTCCACTCTATCTTCATACTGAGTCACATTTTAGAGCTCATTTTACTATTTAATCAGATCACTCCTTCCAAGAGGTTAAATAGCTGATAGCTCCCCCAGAAGAACTTTATATTTTAAAAGAGAGCAAATGCATTAATACCTACTTGTTAGAATTTTAAAACTGTCTCAAAATAAATTATTCTTTAAGAAGATTTCAAAGGCAGAGTCTTCTACCTGGCACTTCTAAATTGCCCTACCTACTTTTTTTCCCTGACTACTCCACTCCGTTTGTTCTTATTTCCTCAGTCTCCTTCCCACAGATAAAATCAATAGGTCTTATTATCCAACTGAAGTTCCTCTATTCACCATTTCCCACAGATTGTGACAGATGGTCCTCAGGTTTCATATCTGCTCTATTAGTTATAACATTGCATAACAAGTTGCCTCAAAATTTAGTGGCTGAAAACAATAATAAACATTTTTATTTAACAACTTTGGTAAGTCAAGAATTTGGGAGAAGCTTAGCTGAGTGGTTCTGGCACAGGGTCCTTTGCAAGGCTTCAATCAAGGTGTGAACTGGGGCTGCAGTTACCTAAAGGCTTGACTGGGAGATGATCCACTTTCAAGCTCACTCATGTGGCTGTTGGCTGAAGATATCAGCTCCATTGGGATACTCACAAATGGCTCTTTAATGCAGAGAGAGAGAAAAGAAAAGGAAGAGAAGAGAGATTGGAAGAATCCAAGTTAGAATTTTTATTTTATTTTTATATAGTCTAATCTTGGAAGTGAAATCCCATTATTTCTTTCCTTAGAAGCATCTCTGTGTAGGCCCACCCCACAGTCAAGGGGACATAATGACACAAGGCCAGAATACTAGGAAGTGGAGAATATTGGGGTTCATCATAAAGACTTTTTACCACATTTGCATACACACAAATGAAGGGATGAGAAGGTTAAAATATCATTCTTAGAATGACATGCTTTTTGAGAATGCATGCTTATATGATGACCATGTGTCACTCATCATACAATATACTGTTGACGTAAATGTGGGTAAAACAAATCTCTGCCTGCAGGTCCTTCTAGTCTAGTGGAGGCGACTAAAAGGTAAATGAAACCTACTACAAAAAGCACATCCTAGCATAGGACATTGACTAAATATTGTGGATAATGAAGTGCATAACTTTGCCTGGATATCTGGGAAAGGAATTGTAACTTGACCTAAGTCTTGAAGTAAGAGTGGTATGTGTGGAGGGGACAGAATAGGAGAGCGAATTACATGCAACAGCAAGGACAGCATGAACAAAGGTGTGGAGTCAAGAAGGCATAGGCACATTAAGGAACCCAATGTGTTCAACAAGAAGAGCTCTGTGTGTGCGATATAGGGAGAGAAATCAGAGGAAGCTTGAAATGTAGGCAGGGAATGGGTAATATCAGGCCTTGGGTGCTATGTTAAGGGCTTTGGACTTTACATTAAGGTTAATGATGCACTTCTGGAAAAATCTAAGCAAAAAGTTAAGAAGGCTGGTAGTTTAGAAATATCGCTCCAGTGTGGCTTGCAAGGCAAGGCGGAGGGGTAGTTGGGATTATGGGGCTGTAATATAAGGTTAAGGAGCATGTGCTTTGGCTTTAGACAATTGCTCTCCACAATTGACACAGAGTGACTAAATCTCTTTGAAATCTTCAGATTCCTCACTGGTCAAATGCAGATGGGTATAGCATCATCTTCATAGGGTTGTGATGGAGATTATAGGAGCTGATAAATACAAAGCACTTAGTAGAGTTTCTGACTCATAGTAATTGCTCCATAAATGATAGCTCTTCTTATTCAGCCTATTTCAAAATAGACCAATTAAGAAGTTTTTACAATAACTCTGGTAAGAGAAGAGGGTGACCTGGATTATGGTGTTGGCATTACTGAAGGACAGAAGTGGATGCCATAGAGAGATTTCCAGGAGGTAGAATCAATAGGTCTTAATATCCAATTGGAGTTCTTTTATTTACCATTTCCAAGTAATCTATTAGTAACCACATAAGACTGTAGCTTTTGCTTGACTGGAGAAAAGAACTAGTGATAGGCTGAACTATATGACATCAATACAGACCCCTAATTGCTTGATGCTGATATAAAACTTGCACTTTAATCCTGCTTTGAGAATTAAGGTTGACTGAAACTGTTCCTTTCTCTCACTCTCTTCCTTTATATTAATGTTACAAATTATATAAAGAATACTTGCTTAATTAAGGAAGAAAAGTATTTAAAAACCTAGGAAATAAAAATCACTTATATTATTCTTGAGACAACTGGGCCTTTTGTTTAATTGTTGTCAAAATCGAATGGCTAAATAAACAGTTCTCCAAAACAAACAAATAAAAGCATGTTCTTTCCTTTTGAAGATGGCCTCTAATAATTAAATGGCTTATATATAAGGTGATAAATTTAATTATTAAGGATATATTTAGAAGATGTGGTAGGCAGAATAGTTTCCACCTTTTTTGGTGGGGTGGGTAGAGGGCGCTATTCTGTGAATCCCAGAAATCTGTGAATTTGTGATCCTACGTGGTAAAAGGAACTTTGGATATGGAATTAGGTTAATGATGTTGAGATGGGAGATGATCCAGGATTATCTGGAGGTGAGGGGTGGCTAATGTATTAATTAATTCACAAGATGCCTTTAAAAATGTAAGAGAGAGGCAAGAGTCACAGAAGGATATGTGATTATAGAAGTAGAGGTCAAGGTGATGAGATTGCTGGCTTTAAAGATGGAGGAAGGCACCATGAGCCAAGGAATACAGATAGTTTCTGGAAGCTGGAAAAGGCAAGGATATTGATTTTCTCCTGAAGAATCCAAAAGGAACAGAACCTTGTCGTTAACTTGATTTTAGCCCAGGGATACACATATCTGACTTCTAACATCCAGAAATGCAGGATAATAAATTTGTGATGTATTATGGCACTAAATTTGTGGTATAATTTTGTGGCAGTAGCAAAAGGAAACTAACACAGATGTCTTCCAATCAGGATTTAGTTTTTTTTTCTTTTAATTTAAATTTAATTTGTAGCAAATTTATTGAGATACAATTTACATACCATGCCATTTACTTACTTAAAGTGTATATTTCAAATTGGGTTTGGAATATCCACAGATATGTACAGCTATTACCAAAGTGAATTTTAGAACATTTTTATCACCTCACAAAGAAACCACATACCCTTTTTCTAACACCTTCCATCTTAATTTTCCTTCACCAGCCCTAAGCAATTACTAATCTTTCCTGTCTCTATTCATTTCCCTATCACAGCTTTTTATGTGTAAGGAATTACTATAGTTTGCATATTTGGCTCTCCAAGCCTTATGTTAAAATTTGATCCCCAGTGTTGGAGAGGGAGCTTAGTGAGAAGTGTTTAGGTCATGGGGGTGGATCCCTCATGAATGGCTTGTGCTATCGTCCTTGTACTTGTGATAATAAGCAAGTTCTCATTCTATTAACTCCCATGAGATCATACTTGCACCCTCCCCTACTCTGCACCCATTCTCCCCCACCCAGAGCGGCTTGAGAAAAAGAGCCTTGCACCTTTCCCTTCTTTTGCTTCTTCTATCACCACGCAATCTCTGTATGTTAGAAGTCAGATATGTACCTCCCTGCCAGGAGTAGAAGCAACCTGAGGTACTCACCAGAAGCCAAGGAAATCAGGCTGATGTGGATGATCCTTGCACATCAGTCTGAAGAATTATCTCTAGTATTTCCTGTAAGTCTGATATGCTAACAACATCTTAATTTCATCTTCGTTTTTGAATGAGATTTTATAAAGGAGATTTTCTAGAAGGAAATTTTCTATAATTCTTGACTGATAGTCACTTTCTTTCAATTCTTTGAAGATATCACCCCTCAATAGTCATACGTTGTTCAAGATTTCTAATGAGAAGTCAGCTGCCAATCTTATCGAAAAAACTCATTTCTGTTAAATTATTGTCCTTTGCTGCATTCAAGATTTTTCTCCCTGTCTTTGACTTTTTCTGTTTGACTGTAGTATGTCTTGATGTGGTTCTCTTTCAGTTTATACTATTTTGAATTTGTTGGGTTATTTGGACCAGTAGATTAGTGTTTTTCATCAAACTTAGCAAAATTTCAGCCATGATTCCTTCAAATACTTAATCTGCCCCTTTTCTTTATTTTCTCCTTCTGTGTGTCCATTATGCATATGTTGGCATTCTTGATGGTGTCCCACTGATTTCTGATGTGCTGTTTTTTTCTTTACTCTTTTTGTCCATCAGGTAGGTTTGCTGATTCTTTCTTTTGTCACTCAAATATA